ATATATATATATATATATATTTTTTTTTAATGTATAAATAGTTCTTGTAAACTAATTGAAAAAAGGGTCAGTGGATCAATAATAATGAACACATCTGTTTTCCAAATAGTTCTTAGCATACTTCCTAATTTTAGGATAATATGTGCATAGTGGTTGAGGCATGCATGGTGTTCTGAAAAGATACATGGCAGAAAGCTATTGAAAAGCACAGACTTCCAAGCTTTAGGGTATTTCTGTAATCCAGTTCTGACATTTTTATATTTTCTGTAAAGGATAAACAAGACCCAGTGGTGATGTATGGTTGCATTTTCATCAGAGCTTTCAATTGCAAGTGAGAACTTAAAGTGATACTTTTTTTTTTTTTTTTTTTTAAACCACTGTTGTTATTACCAGCAATTACCATCCACTGCGACAGCACAGATATATTTTTAATATATGCAATGCAGGTTTGCATTTTTAAATACATTTTATTAAATAAATATGTTCATAAGGATAGCCTGCTATTTAAGCTGGTGATATGTTTGTTTGATGTTATGTTACTGGTATTTTTGAATAGGCAGCTAAAAAGTTTTAGAGGGTTTTTTGGGGGAGCGGTTGATTTGATTTTGGTTTTTATTATTACTTTCTTTTTCAGGCAAAGTTCACTCTGTAATAGCTTGCTGTGCTGTTGACTGAGTCACAAATTAATGTGGCTTCCCTTGAATAGAGGCTTTTTTTAAAAAAAATAAAAATCTTTTTTCTGTGTCTACAGGAACATCTTAGAATTTTGAAATCTAAATCAGTGGGAGAAATCAACAGTCTAAAATTTTATACTTAATTACTATTTATAGTTAATTTAAAATTTGTATTGTTTCCTTGAACTGCAACACTGTATGATCTCAGCATAATTTCCACGCAGAGCCCCATCTCCCATATCCCCCAGCATTTTATATGGCTTGTTCTGATAGTTTTTGTTCTTTCTGCACTGTATCTTTTTAAAACATGTCTTTGGGCTTGGGTAGGTGCTTTCTGATAGCACTGCCTGACAGTAGAAATGAAAAGGTTGTGAGATTTCATTGGTAATGCTTATTTAATACAGTACTTTGCTGCTTATCCCATTGGATTAGTGGAGCTTGTTCTTTTAAAATTTGTTTTTGACTTGAATGACTAAAAGCTGACCTTCTGTTGCTTCTCTGCATGCCACTGTTACTTCTCCTCTTTAGTGCCTTAAAGTCTTTGCTTTATTCTAAAGTTTCTTATTTTTCTTCTATAACAAGCACATATACTTGTGCTGTCAAATACTACATTGTAGTAATGTGAATTTTCATTTATCGGGCAGCTTTACAGTCCCAGAATGTTTTTAGTTAATGGATTGGATGCTGTCAAACAGATTTTGGCAAAAACCACTTTGTAAAATTCACTGACTTCTTAATGCTTTCCTCCTGATGGCATTTTGGCACAGCCCCCTTCCAAGAGTATAGCAGCTGAAAACACTCGTACTTTTTTTTGGCTGTTAAATAATCTTTGTGGTGTGTTCGAGGTGTCGAACAGAAGCACAATCACTTTGTCAAAGAGCTTCATCTGGTACATTGTCTTAATACTCCAACTGCTTTTCTAAAGACACTTCTGCAGAACGCAAAGCCTGCACGCGTGCATTGGAAATGTCAGCGGAGCTTGAGTTACTGGTCACGTGCCGGTTTGAAAACAGTAAAACATTTAGATCTGCAGCAGCTGAAGGGAAAAGGTGAAACACGCCTGCTCTATAAATAGCTTCCATAGTGAACACACACTTTTCTGACTGCGACTCTTTCGTTGTCTTTAGATAATGATGAACGAGCTTTTAAAGGGAAGCATGAGTGGTCTTGGGGTGTTTTGGAATGGATAAATATTTCCAGCAAAGGTTTATAATTTTGAGTAAAAGAAGAATTTTCCCTTTGAAGGGAAGGGCCTATGGGAGAGTGAGGGCTTGCAGGTTTTAGCTGGAGACTTCTTGCTCCTTTGGATCTGTTAGTGAAATGTTGTTATCTTTGAGACCCTTTGAGACTCTGGGCAGATGATTGCTTTTGCTTTCTCCCAGGAGCTTACAACATCTTCCTTCTCAGCAGGCTATAAATTACCACCAGTGAAAGCTTTCTAGCAAATCACAGTGTGTCAGTGTTCTTTCCTGCTACTAACTTCATTCTTTTATATGGAGAACATTAGGTGGTTAGGTTAAAAAAGATTAAGGCTGTGTCTGCAGGAGGGCGATAGCCCTCCCTGTGGAGTACTCTGCAGTGTTGGGGCCATGGAGAAGATGGCATTTGACATCCGGTAGGTTAAATTATAAATCCCTACCAGGCCTTCTGAGTTGAAACTTCTTGGATTGTTTTCTCTGGTGTGCTGAAATCTTTTTAGAGTTTGTATGTACTATCAACAATTTCTTTATTTAAAAACACAAACAGATAAGAGGAGGAAAATAGTGTTTCGTAATTACCAGGCATAGTACATCATTGTAGTGTAATTAATACAAGGCTTCCACATTTTAGCCTGCAAGGGCAGCTGATGTTTTTCGTTTAAAATCTCTGTAAGGACAGAGAGTAAGCATGATAGGTGAGGTAACTTGTCTGTATTAGCTGTCATTGTTTGGACCAGGATCTGTGTTTATAAATGTTGCTGTTTATAACTTGAATTCACAAATTATCTCAGTGGAGAAGGAGGGGGAGCAGTGAGCTGTGTTTGTGTCCGAACAATGTCAGGACTCAAAGGCAGGCTTGCTATAGACACTAAATATTTATGGAGATACTCATCTTTCCAGGAAGGTTAGAACTTTTTTTTAATGCTTGAATTATATGATGGCAGATTAAAAGTGAAGGTATTATTTGAGTAGCAGGTTGTGGGGGTTTTTTTTTGTTTGTGTTTTGGGGGGTTTTTTTAGTCATTTTGGTAGATAATTTTTCACTGGGCTTTTTTCTGTTGGAATTAATAGGAGTTCAGGTACTTTTTGACAGTAGGAAAGA